AAGTTCGTAGGCCTTGGTTACCGAAGCGGACTTCAAGTCGACGTGATAAACTTCCGCCCAAGTGGTAGACTCCGTCTCGTAGTGCACCAGGAAATGCGGCAGCGATTCGAGCTTCTTGGGAGCATGAACCGTGATGGAGCTGACACTCTCACCACTTGTATTTTCAATATCGAACGAGTGTACCTGTTTCGTACCGATGACGTTGACCTTGAGCGTTTTGAATGACTGATCCGCCCAGACAATCATGGGTGCGGCAGTGTTCGCGCCCACGAAGAGGACTGAGTTGGTGCTAGACAAGTCGCTTTCCGAGCTCAGAATATGCTGTCGAGTTTGGCGACCGGTCAAGGGATCCAAAGAAGTAACCTTGATTCTGTATCCTTTCCGGGAGGAGGGCTGCAAAGCGACGTAGAAGACCTCGGTGGCCGATGACGACAATTGGAGGGGAATATCGCCGCTACCGGGAAATATCAGCGATGGAAGCTCCAACAGAAGTCAGTTTCAAGTATATTCGTACCTTTCGTCCAAGTGCTCCCACTTCGTCCGACCCGAATCTCCATCTAGCCTTCGGACAACGCCAGCCTTTCCGCTCCAAAGCGCCACAGTGTCTTTGGTCGACGGAGCCGCACTGACATCCTCCAGCTCCAGAAGCTCGAGATCAGCGAGCACTTCGCCCTCAAACCAGTTTTCCCAGATCAATTTTCCATCCAGAGCAGTCCACGAAGAAATGTAATCGCCCAGCGCGCTGACCAGGGCGTTTGTGCCTTCGGAGGCGCGGAGAAGACCGTGGGGATTGTTTCCAGCAGCGGGCAGATCAGAACGCGAGAGGTTCTGTCTCCAGACAAGGGAGCCGTCTCTGGGGTTCACAGCACCGAGCAGCGACTTCTCCGAGAGTGTATAGAGTAAGGAGGCATTGGAGGAAGCGGACGGTTTGAGGAAGAAGGTCGATTGGGAGGTGGGAAAGCCGAGCAGTGCGTGATGGTAGTCGACATGGTTGACCTCGTCCCGGTAGATGGCCAGGGACGAGGGAACGCACGAGGCGAGCAAGAGAAGCGTCGCCTGTAGCCACATGTTTATGACAGATGTTTCCGGTCGGGCATTGGAGGGCGACAGAGGAGAGAGGTAGCTGGATGTGATGGTGGCCGACTAACGATAAGCTGCGGATCATCGATGACGGGCGGTGATGTATCATCGGGCAGAATCCCTTTCCCCCCGGTTTGTCTCCACTACAGCTTCAGCTTCTTACTTGATTGCACTTCTACCAATTCTTCATTACTAAGAACAGCTTTTACGACATTTTACTGATGGGTGCTACCATGGCTGAAATTGACGTGGCTATGTGTGAAACAATTGAAGTGCGACACATGTCCTCTACCTAAAATTGATCGTTGTTTACGAGTAAGGTCCTTCATACTGCTACCAGAACGGTGATATAGTCCGAATTCATATACATTTTGATGCTATTCTATGTACAAATACAATCTGGCGAATTAAAGTAATGCTCATCATATCCAAGAATCTTATGCTTGCCCGAAGCAGGTCTTGTTGGCAGCTCTGACAACCGCCTTCTCTCCCTCGGTCATGTCGTCGGTAATATCCCATGGCTGACTTCCCATACCCATGGCGCGCAGGCCCTCTGCATCAATCGAGCTCCAGTCAAGTGCTCCCTGGAAACCGATCTCACCGGGTCCACCAGCGCCGGGGAAATCCCAAGGCGGGGAGTAAGCAAGCGCTGCCTGGCGCTGCTTGAGCAGGTAGTTCACGTTCATTTCGCACATAGGCGTGGCAGGGATGTAGAGAACGCTGGAGTCTCCCTTGCCGCGATGTTCCTTATCGACGGAGTGCAAGGAATCGCAGTGCCAGGCAACGTAGTCACCGGGTTCCACCTCGGGGACGGACACCATGGTGGTTTCCAGGTCCAGGTGAGGATGCGTGACGGGGTTGTATTCCTGGCATGTTCCGGGTACGGCACCAGGGAATGTGTTATCCAGCACCGGCTGCGAGGAGGCTGGGTCGAAGAAAGGTCGGAGGATAGTGTAAGCGGTACTCTGAATGACCATGGGGCAAACATGCAGCGAGCCTTCGCCGGGAGCTGTGTTGGACATGGACAGCCACCCCTGGAAGAATCTCAACATGGAGCAGGAGCCAGCGCCGTTGTACAAGTCCATGTTGGCCGAGACACGGTGCTTGGCGTCCCATGGGTCGTATTCTTCCCATTTGCCCTCCAGAATTTTGGAGTAGACTCGGGAGTATTCAGGATCCTCCCAGCGCTCCAATGATCCACCGTCAATATGAGGGCCGAGGGTGAATTTTGCGTCGCCGGGTTGCCTGATGCGGAGTCTGTCTGCGTAGGTCAAAGGATTCCGAGTCGAGATCGGAGTGTCCGGATCGGACGAGTGCCAGAGACGCTGCAGGAAGCGCTGGGTACCGAGCATGCTCGGATGTGCTCGGGCCTCTGCTTGGGATGGAGTCCAATACAGCTCATAGACTGCTGGGGAGTCGGGAGGGAAGGCCTTCACGCGCTCTTGGTTGGCAGCAGCATAGTCCTTGATCCTCTCCTTCCAGTCGAGGGCTTTCTCTCGAGGCACCACGTTTCTGATGACCACGGAACCTCTGTGACGGATCTCCGCAAGGAGATGGTCCGGGACGGTGCCATTGACCACGTCGGAGTATTGCACCGATGGGATGATCTGGACATTCTGTTTAGTGACACTCACTCATACATATAGAAGATACCATGGGAACTTACATCGCTTCCTTTGGTCTTGATCTTGTGCACTTCCTCTTCCAAGCTGGGAAGGAGTCGCTCCCAACTGTCCTTCAGGGCCTTTTCATTCTTTTCAAAGTATTTCAGCTTCAGATCCCTGAACCGCGGGGGTAGGGGCTCTGGCTTGTAGTCTGGTCTCAAACTGGGGAAGACGCTGGAGATATCGCCCGCAGCCTTGGTCATCGACGACGCTGAAGTCGATGTGGACGCGGCGCGGGCGGCCGTTTTTGAGAGAAATTTAGACATAGACATGATTTCTATCTTTCCAATAGATACTTGGAATCTCGATATTTCTGATCACTGGCAGACAGGACCTCTTGCGACTGATATACCTGCAGCTGGGGCGGATTATTGTCGGAAACCCATATCCAGCAGTCGGCCCGATTACTTGATATGGAAGGTCTCCGCCTCCCCCGCAAAAAGCGGCAACAAGAAAATGCGGGAATGTTGCTCTTTGCGGGATCCACATTGCCCCGGAATGAACTATTGCCTTCACTCGAGGTTGTCTCATGCGTTTTTCAGAGGCGAAAAATAGAAGGAAGCTGGGGTTTATCAGGTCATGGCTCGGGGATACAGTTCAGACTAGCCATCGGACTTACTGATAGGCAATTGATACGAAGGCACCCTCTATAACAGATCCGCTGCAACCGCCCTTGCACGTCCTGCACAGAACGCAGTGGATCAGGTCTCGCTGCCAATGACTTCAAGCGAGCTGATCGGCACTTTCACCGAGGGGAGCACCCCGAGAGGCAGCGGTCAGATAGGAGTTGATGACTTGTTCTCGGTCTTATTCCGGGTTTCTACCACCTTTAGGGCTCTCGTCCTCGGTCTAGTGATACAGCGACATGCCCATGGGGTAGGCCTGGGTCCCGTATCGAACCCCTCCGGAACAGTTATAAAGTAGCACAGGGCCACTCGGCAGAAAGCCACCTAACCACCAAATCACACTCCCCATTGCAGCTCCCTGGGCCTCAATCCCGCTTTAGAATGTCCTTCGCCGTTCAAGGCCGAGCTGCTATCGTGACGGGGGCAGGTTCAGGTTCGTCACGCATGGTATTCAGCCAATAAGCAAGCCTCACTAAATCGTAATTGTAGGAATTAACCTGTCCTTCGCCAAACTTCTCCTCGAGCATGGATGTAATGTCCTGTTCGCCGATCTAGCTCTACGTCCAGAGGCAAAGACGCTAGTGGATCAATACTCAGCGAAGGGGAAGACGCCACGAGCCGTCTTCCAGCGGACCGACGTGACCGATTGGCAACAGCTCGAGCGCATGTTCGAGGTAGCAGAGCAAGAATTTGGAGAGCTTGATATTGTGTGTCCTGGTGCAGGCATCTTTGAACCGGTATAGTTTCCCTATCCACCGATCCCTACCAGTGTTATGCATCACGCAAGGGGTAGTATACTGCAGGCACGTTCGATTGCTCACACCCGATTTTTCCTCACAGCACTGGACCAACTTCTGGCGTCCTCCGGGAACCTCTGAAAGCCGTGACCCACGGTATGGAGGTCGCTACGCCCTTCTTGATATCAACCTCACGCATCCGATTCGCACGACGCAGCTAGCCATTGCCCATTTTCTACGTCATGGCAACAAGCAGCGACGCAAGCACATCGTCCACATCTCCAGTATTGCCGGCCAAAACCCCAACTTCATCGCCCCGATCTATGTCGCCACGAAACACGGCATCAATGGTTTGGTACGGTCGTTGGCTGGCCTGGACCAGGAGTGCGGGATCCGCATCACAGCTGTTGCGCCGGGAGTTATTAAGACACCGTTGTGGACGGACCATCCTGAAAAGCTCAAGGTAGTGAATGAAGGGGCGGATGCATGGGTAACTCCAGAAGAAGTAGCAGAGGTCATGTTGGCGCTAATCCAACAGGACAAGGTGAGCGGTATCATTGGGGATCAGAGTGGTCGTGGTCCCCAGTACCCAGTCAGTGGTGGAACTATCCTGGAGGTCTCCAAGACGGTTCGGGCAGTAGAGCCTTTCAATGATGCTGGGCCTGGAGATCGTCCAGGAAATACGGTCTCCGATAACAGTGCAGTGATTAACGAGACACTTGGTCTGCTGTCGCAGCCTGGATGGGGAGTGCCCAAGTTGTAGATAGATGGAGATAGAAAATATACTAATACTACTTTGGCTTTCAGGATGCTGAAGGCTTAAGCAATTCCGAAAACGAATGACCATTATCTACTCACAATAGGTAATATGAGCCAGTTTCGCATAGCTTCAACTACTGGAATCGAGCAGGTGGCGGCCAAATCCCATCTCTATCCTCTCTATATTTCGCATTGACGGCCGCATGCAACCTGGTCAGCTCCGAGGTATATCGATAGGGCTTTCGTCTCACCTCGCCCTGGAGATCGCGCTGGACCAATCGCGCAAACAAAGTCGGGGCGATATGCTTGATGTCGACTTTAAGGGGTTGTAAAGCCTCAGGCTGAGCTCCAGTCGCAGCTCCAGTCCCAGTTCCAGTATCCGATTTTGGGTTTGTCTCGTGCTCTGTCTTTGTCTCAAACAGGGGTTCAGGCTCAGCTAACCAGAAATACGACCGTGTCGTTTCACGCGAGCGGAAAGCCTCGTCATCCAGATATAGAAAAGCATCGCGCCGAAAGCCAGCAGGGACCTCACCATTTGGGAGCATTGTGCCGAACCTCCTCCGTAATGCACTCGGGTCCATACTGTTATTACTAGTATTACCTGGAACAGCCACCCAGTGCAATGCGAACCGGTCTCTCGTCTCATCCTTAATCAACCTCGCTGAATAGTGTAGTCCATGGTAAACAGCCGTTCCGATTAGGGATTTATATCCTGGAAGGCGCCCTCCGTCCTCTTCTTCCTCTTCTTTCGGGTAAAATACCACAAGACCAAAGCGACCACCTTCTTCACCAGGTCCCTGACCACCCGGGCCAGATCCAGAAACAGGAGCAGAATCACGCGCCGAAGCTGAACTGGATTGCAGTACATGCTCCTGCCAGGGGATCTTCAAGGCAAACAGAATATTCCTAATGTCATCATCGTTCAGCGCGTTGGCCGCCGCCAATTCCACCTTTCGCCATCGCTGCAGAACCCTCTGCGCCACCTCAATAGCAGCCCGAATATCGTCTGTCCTCGCCGCTACTATAGCTCGAGCCTTGAGGTCCCGGTCTTCGGAAGAAAGGCGTGCCACCTCGGACAGGATACGGCCCGATTGTCCCTCGATTACGCCGGTCGTTAAACGACTGGCTTCTTTATGGCTTAGACCGAGGCTGCTAAGTGGGATGTCATCGCCGGTGTTGCTGCGGCCATTGATGGCTTTGGTAATTAGTTCGCCCATGGACAAGCCGCAGGCATTTCGACAGAGGGTGTCTTCCTCGTCTGGTGGGGGGCGGTAGGTGATGAGTCGACGTTCTTGATCGGTTAGTGAGGAGGGGTTGGAGATGGCGCGGTTGTAGAGGGTGCGTGTTGATTCATCTAGGACTAGGGGGGTAGTATCTCCAGCATTGATGGGGAGCCACATTATGTTGACAACTATTATTTGATCATCTAGGAAAAAGAGGGTTATTGTGTGCAGGGACTTGGGGGTAGCAGAACTAGACTGCTGTTGTCTTAAGCGGCATGGATAGTTTTAACTTAAAATAGCCCTCATAGTAACAAGTTTTACAACTATCAAAATATAATTTGTAAAAAGTAAAATATAAGACTTCATAATTACCGAATAAAGATGAAACTAGTGCCCAAGTTGTATATACTAGATCAACGGGATAGAGCATATAATACAATTCGAGAGGGCAAACGAATACATGTCATGCAAGCACAAAAGGTATGGATATGCTTACTCCGTTAGTTAACTACGTAGTTAGTTACGGTGTGGCTGGGTCTGGGTGACTCAGGCCAATTTCAGCCAAATATGGAAACTCTTTCCAGTCTCATCCTGTCGCCAGCTACGAAGGATAATATTACGTATTGTACTCTGCAGATTGCGCGAGGGCACTAAGGAATGGTGTATGACCTGTGCTTCAGCCTGGAGTAGTACTCCACTCACTGTCTCAGTAAGTACATGACCTGGCTTACTGTCCTTACCACAGCAGTAAGTCTGTAATCTTCTAAGCAACAAAACAATGCTTCAAAACCAGCCTTCATCTCAACTTGATTATGAGCTTCTGATAACATCGCACGATACTACCAAGTAGACAACTAGTAGACAATAGGAAGGTTGTAGTTGTGACAATCTGGGGAAAAGAAGTGAAGCCACCAATGGCGGAGGGCGATAAAGGGACTGACTAAACAAGGCTCTCCACCGCCTCCGCTCCTTTGGCGGCATTTGGATTGCGCTGTTCATTATTCCCTTTCCCTTTTCCTTCTTCTTATCTCCGGATGTCTTTCCCTTCTCCAACCCCTCTTTTTTTCTTAATTTCTCCTTTAATTCTCCCTCGCCAACTAACTTCTTCGCTGATTTGTTTTCCGTTCCTTACCGACTTCCGAGCACATCTCCCGCTGCACCGCTGGTTCGAGTGAACTTCGACCGACTATGGTTGGTTGATCACCCGCAATCTTTTGTCGTGTGGCCACCTTCAATCCTTATCTACCGCCTCCAAAAGAACTACTTCTACCACCTCAACACAACTCGACTCTTCCTCCAACTCACTCCTTCACAATGATGGACGACGAAGCTTCCGTCGGGATTGGCTCCCCTCGAGCCGGTTCTCGAAGGTAACCTATACTACCTCCAATCCGAAGTACTTCCCCTGCTCTTAAGCCTTATCGCTGACAGGTACCCATCGGTCGCAGACACGGCGGCAAAGGGAAACGAAGCATCGGACATCATGGCGACGCCAGTTGGGTCAGCTGTGTGATCAACTTGGTCAACACAAGTAAGTCGGGCCGGAAACTATATACCTCTACTCCGCAATCGTTACTGACTCATGCTCTGTCCCTGCCTGTTAGTTATCGGTGCCGGTGTTATGGCCATGCCGCTGGCCATCTCTCACATGGGAATCGTCCTCGGTGTCTTTGTGATTCTGTGGTCAGGAATGACCGCAGGTTTCGGTCTATATCTCCAGTCTCTATGTGCCCGATATCTCGAACGAGGCACTGCATCCTTCTTTGCCTTATCCCAGATCACCTATCCCAATATCGCTGTCATCTTCGATGCCGCCATTGCGGTCAAATGTTTTGGTGTCGGTATCAGCTACCTCATCATCATTGGCGATCTGATGCCGGGCGTGGTTCAAGGATTCGTTGGAGGTGCTCCCGACTATGACTTTTTGGTGGACCGGCATTTCTGGGTAACAGCCTTCATGTACGCTGACTACGACATTGAGTGCGTCGGACAGTGCTAATTAGTTCCAGGCTGATTGTTATCCCTCTCTCATACCTCCGTCGCTTGGATTCGCTCAAGTATACAAGTATCGCAGCTCTGGTCTCGATGGCCTATTTGGTGGTACTGGTCGTATACCACTTTGTGAAGGGGGACACCATGGAGGACCGTGGTCCGGTTCGAGTGATTCACTGGGCAGGCCCTGTACCTACCCTCAGCAGTCTGCCTGTGATTGTTTTCGCGTTTACATGCCATCAGAACGTATGTCCCGAGACCCACAACCCAGATCGTCACTTCCATGGTTCATTGCTCTGACGTGCACCCCAGATGTTCTCAATTTTGAATGAGATCGGCAACAACAGCCATTTCCGAACCACCGGTGTAGTCCTGGCCAGTATCGGCAGTTCGGCCGCCACATACATTCTTGTGGCCATTACTGGGTACCTCTCCTTTGGAAACAGTGTCGGCGGAAATATCGTGAGCATGTACCCACCGGGTCTTTGGGCCACGATTGGCCGCGCTGCTATCGTCATGCTTGTCATGTTCTCGTATCCTCTTCAGTGCCACCCGTGCCGGGCCTCCGTTGACGCAGTGCTGCGCTGGAGGCCCAAGTCCTCGTCCAATAGCGACACCTCCCCTCACCGGAACCCCCTCCTGGGGCAGAGGGGCGGCCGGACTGCGGAGCCGATGAGTGACCTCCGATTCTCGATCATTACGACTACCATCCTTGTCCTGAGCTACATTGTGGCCATGACTGTGTCTTCCTTGGAGGCCGTCCTTGCCTATGTCGGCAGCACAGGAAGCACCAGCATCAGCTTCATTCTCCCCGGATTGTTCTATTACAAAATCTCCTCTCCCGATTCGCCCCACCACCAGCGTCTGATGAAAGAAGACGACGAAGCAGCGGAAGGTATGCTATCCGATGATAGCAACGATGAAGACGGAGAAGAGAGCGTGCAGGCACGCCCCCTAACCGACAGCGGCATCCTCCGCCGAGGAAAACGCAACTGGCGCCGTACCCTTCTACGAAAGTTAAGTTTGGCACTCGTAGTATACGGGGTGGTGGTTATGGTCGTATGCCTGATCACGAACTCTGTTTTCATTGCTTCTCACTAGATGGGTTTTGGTTTGGTTTTGGATGCGGGGAAGGTGAAAAGATCTGGATGCGTTCCATTTCCGTCCACTAGCTTTTTGGCCCTCGTGTGAGGTGACCTTTTCCGCTTTCCTACTAAATTTAGACACTCCCTACCAATCTTCTTTTCTTAGGTTTATTTCTTTGTTTCTTGCATCTATTGGTTTCCTTTCGGGTTTGCGATCTAGATCTGGGCTCTCTTCGTCCAACGGTTACAATGTTGGGGTTTCTGCACGCTATACCATTGCACCGGCGTTGGGGTTCGTGTTTGGTCCGGTTTAGATTAACGTCTTAAACCTTGGAATACATTTTTCAATCTAATGATGCCTCTACTCTCTTGCCAATTTATTCCTCTTGCTTTGGCCTGATCTAGTAAGCTTGTCTTGGCTCTGTAAAGTTATCTTCTATGAATCTGGTTTCTTGCTTTCCATGGATAGATACTCCGGTTCAGATAAACACAGAACTTATTGAAGTCGATCTACTACCCATCAAGTACTACTAAACTACCAAACACTACTACAAGCACAGGGGAGTATTATGATAGAGGTCATTGCAACTATAGAATGGATGTTAATAAACAGGCTTGTCTGAACGAGTGAAGAGAAGTAAACAAAGATCAACGCAACTAATACTAATCGATGAGTACAGTATCATTAGACAATACAAGCAAGTCAGGCGAGGTATTTATCACCGAATCAACACAGAAGAGTGTCCAGTCCATCTCACGATCACTCACTGCGATTTCTCAACAACCACCACCACCACCACCACCACCACCAGCAAGTAGCACAATCTGTATCAATCCACCCCAACCCCACTACCACCTTTCCTCCATCGCCCATCAAAACAACCACCAGGTTATGATCAACCTAGTTATTATTCTGACTATTCAGAATCCTCAAAATCGCCAAAAACAGATTCAAGATATCCAAATACAGCGAAATGCTCGCGGCAATCTCCTCCTCAACATGATAATGCCTCATCACCAACTGGGTATCAACAAGAATATACGCCGAGAAAATCAGCGCCGCAAGGCCCCCATAAATCAGCTCGACGGTGCTATTCGCAGGGAAAAACACAGCCACGAAGCCAAACAAGATCAGGAACCAAAGACCACCGAAGAGGTAGGGCATCCAGTTAGTGAAGTCGTACTTGGTCTGGCAGGCGAAGAGGGTGAGAGCAACGAAGAGACCGAGGGTGAGGATGAGGGCTTGGATGACGAGCCGGGCGTCGTAGAAGGAGGTCACGACGCTGATGGAGTAGGCTTCGAGGAGGGTGAATCCGGATAGGAAGAGGAGGTTGGCCGGGTAGGATTTGCGCTTCCAGTAGGTGACGAGCATGAAGCCTAGGGCGCCGAAGACGGAGACCATCATGAGCCAGAAGTTGGATTGGATCCAGAGGCGGTAGCTGGGGGAGAAGAAGGAGATGGAGCTGAGGATGGTGGTGAGGAGGAGTTGGGCCGTTCTGTTTGTGATTACTCTCTTGTCAGTTTTGTTCTGATGATATTCTCGATTGCTTCCTCGGGGTATAGAATGGGTGGTGCTTACAAGATGGAATAGACCTTCCGGATGAACTGCATACGGATGGGCAAGGTGCCCTCCGCGACGGTGCCGCCGAACTAATCAAGTACATTGTCAGTTGGTTTCGTTCTCTCAGATGATGCAAGCTTCTTTGTTGAGGGTGGTGGTGTATGTACCTTGAAATCATCAGGAACATTGTCGTCCTCGCTGCGTGGCGCTGCTTGCGAGTAGTCGGCCGTTGCCTGATAAGACGGCGGGGGTTGAGGATAGGCGCGCTCCTCGAAGGAGTCGCGCTGCGGAGCAGGCTCGTATCTGGTGTTAGCTGCCATTTGCAACTGTTGTCTCTGACGCTGTCAGGCTAATAGTATGGATGGAATGAGTTGATGGGACAGTCTGTCATATTAGATAGTAGGATAGACTAATCGGGGAAAGGAAGAAGAGGAGAGAGAGGGCCGAGAACCGCTGCGGCGCCGCGGCTCAACGGCGCTCCGGGGCAGGTGACGTCGGTGGTGTCACCTGATAGTGGTTTTGTGCCTTAGGCAGAGGTTTACTATTGCCATCTAGTATGTTCTAGTAGTATGCATAAGATTCACTACGTTTACCCTATCAAATTGGTCTATACAACATTTCATGTGAGGATTCAATTATGGCAGAACCTTTCAGGATCATAGTAGTACTGTAGTGCTCCATTAACTCCTATCATATGCCTCTATTATGTTAGTATGTATCATATCTATCGTAATAAGTATATATATGCCATCAAAAAAGAAATCGTAAAGCAAGTTGTCACCCATAAGTCACCGTCTGCTTCCCCTCTAGTTTCGCTCTTCGTGGAACGGAAGCTCTTCCATAATCACATCATCGTCCAAGGAGGCTCTGCCGTCATGGTATTCGTCGTCAGTGGAGTCATCTGGCGTATCCTCTGAGCCACGGAGTGGCTGGTCGCCTGGATCTTGGCCCGGACGCTTCTTCCGCTGAAAGTCCTGTGCATGCGCTGAAGCCAGCAACGAGCCGACACGGGAGAGGCCGCGATTGCGGACCGACATGCCTGGAGTGGACGGGGTGCCGTGCTCCACATCGTGTGCTTGCGGTTGCTGCTCTTCCAGGGGCACACCATCTGCTTGTTGGTCAACCTGCGCTGGCGGGAGGGAGACCTGGTATGGCAGAGGCACATCCCTGGACGCCCGGAACAGCAGGACGTTGGTGCAGTGCTCATTCTCCACACGGAAGATCGTCCAGATACCTCGTCGGCAGACTTCTGACAGCGCCACGAAGAAGCTGAGTAACGCGGAGTGCTGCATATCCTTCGTGAAGATGGCATAAAAGATCCAGTTGAATCGCACGATAACGTCGATGACCATCGCAACATAGTATACCCATGCTTGACGGAACGCCAGGACATCACGCAGCAACGGGCGTTTGGCGTAGGCGTTCCCCAAACTCCAATCCATGACAAGGTCCCAAACCGACACATACACGGCGTTGAGCAGCGCAAAGGTGATGAACGTAGCCTGGAAACGTTCCGCTTTATCGATGCGATACAAGCTCAGAGTGACATAGTACAGAATAGTGAACGTGTATTTGCCAAAGTTCAGCAAATGCGGGAAGACGTTCCTAGTATCTGCGTAACGTCGCAGACACTGCAAAGCTCTCCAAATGCCCGGTAGGCAGGTAAAGAACCCAAGCAGCCTGGAATGCGAAGAATTGCACTGGGGAGGGTTACCCCAATAATGTGCGTAGAGACAGAAGAATAATTCGATATTCTATCACAAATCAGCCACAACACGTTAAGCGTACGACAACCGGGTTACTCACACCCATGGCATATGTCTGGGAGCAATACATGTCTCCCAGAAAGAAATCACGGAACTCAACCGGATAGAACCCTGCGAGAAGCAGACGCCACTAGATTCGTTAGCAGTGACTTAGGACCCGCTATGGACGGCTTCACTCACATTAGAATATGCCCACCATTTGCGGCTGCGGTGGTACAGTGTCCGCACGGGCAGGAAAAGAAGGACCGTGGTCAAGCCGACAAGGACAACAGGCCAATAAATATACATGCTATTAACTGACATGAAATTGAGCCACATGCAGAGACCCAGCAGAAAGAAGAAAAATGACGGCAGCTGTTACAGTCAGACACAATCAAAAAACCACGATAAAGCACCATACCTCAGTAAGCTGACGCCAGTCTAATGCATGCCTAGTATCATATTCAAACACAAAGACGTAGTTGATCTTGGCCCGAGTCCAGACCATACAGTCTAGGCAAAACAGTAGGAAATGAAGTACAACGAGGAAATAGCCCCCATATATCTGCGCACAGTTAGCTAGCAGCAGGCACTCAGAACGATAAATACTGACCTGAAGCAAGTAGCTTGTAAAAGTCTTTAGTTCACCATCCCGATCATGAAGGTTCTGCACGGCATATACTAATGACTGAGCGCCAAACAGGACACCACCCATCAAGAGCACACCGGCACGGAACGTGCACGGAGAATAATCTCCGGATTTATTGATAGTGTGGCGCAATTTCGAAGCGGCGATCTTGCGGTTGCCGCGCTCGAAGTAACGAGCGTACAGGTCCTCTGCAGCGGACAGCAGATTCTCAGTGACCTCGCTTTGAACGAACCACGACTTGTTCACTTTCTCAGACATATAACGCTGCGTAGGACGCGCATTAGTAGTTTTGTCATATTTCTTGTTGATCTTCCGGAAAGCAGTCCTGTTCAGGTAGGCGTACGCCTTCAGCAGTTCCACACCGCGGTAGTACTCCTGAAGCGCGTGCTTCAGCTTCCTTTTAGCGGAGCGATAGGATACATCGCTGTTGGTCGGGTCCTCGGGCCGACGGATGAAATCGCGACGCGACACCGTATGGTCGGGATCCTGTCCTTGTAAGGCTGCTGAAGGGGTGCCCAACTCTGCAAGGGCTTTAGAGTTCTTCCCGAAATGACGTCCAGTGAGAGCACCGCGTATGCCGAAGCCAGCGAGGCCACCTAGGGGGCCGAATGCATGAGACTTTGGCATTCCTTCTTTCTCTGGCCGGGCCAACTTGGCACCTAGAACTTCCTGTGTGCGTTGGTCCCGCATGATATGCAGCTGATGACGAAGCACTTTGAGGCGTTCTGCGGCCTCCTCTTCCTTCATCTGATAGAAGGATTCTATTTTGGTCAACTCGCTATCCAAGAAGGCGAAGAACTCGTCCTGGCGCTTCTCGAACTCAGAAGATCCATCCGCTCCACGCTTCTCTGGGGAATCCCAGTCCTGATAGGACAGGACGCGCTGGAGCAACGAACCTCTCCGGTTGGGAGGGCCTGGGGTTGCATTCCGCTTATGATCCTTCTGGGGCGTCGCAGGACTCCGCTGAACTATGCCCTTGGTCGCAGTTCGTGTGCTCGCATGTCGCGACATCACCGGCGACGGTGTCTCAGGTACACTGGTCTGCTCCGCATCCCTCTCCGACGAGTAGTCATTATGCTTTGGGTCGATCGCGGGATCTGGCAGTCGAAGAGAGGCGACATCTGATGATGCAGCGTTCAGCGGAGGAGAGGGGACGATACTTCCGTAGCTTCCAATGACGCCTGAAAACCTAGAGCCGGGTACACGCAGGGGCTGACGCTCGCTGCGGCTAGAGCCTGAGCGCGGTGAGCGTGGCGTAGGACCACTGCTTCTTATAGGGGTGGAAGGAATGTGGGAGGGATCATTGGCATCGAGTCTGCTACTGGAGCGTCGGAATGGGGACGGACCATCAGAACCAGCAGGACGGTCATCTTGGTCGCCATGCGCGGAAGCATTGTGTTGTTGAAGAGAGGGATGACTGGGGCTTCGAGAGGTTTTTTGAAGAGCGCGAGAGATCGCTTTGACTTTCTTCTTGCCGGTCTAGAAGGTTAAAAAAGCAAGAGACCCGTTAGCATCCAAATTGTAGCTTTAAGAAACAAAAAAAAAAGAAGAAACGTCAGTACGGCAACGGATATACTGACCTTATAATCTAGATATTTGGCGCGCCACTCTGGAACCAGTTGCTGTTCCAGCTCCCTAATTTCAGAACGAACAGCCGGTTATTCTGGATTCTCACACACAAGCTTCAGGTAGTTGGAAGGAATGAAACTAACTTCGCGAATTTCATCGTGAGCAAATGGAGCTATAGCCGGGCATGATACTAAACGCAAACGAGCAAACGGCGGGCACGAGAGTATATAGCAGAAGCAACGATCGCATTGGCGACGAGTCACGGCGAGAAAACGACAACTGGAGCTAGTCGTAGTAGTAGTATTAAGACATATATAGTTAAACAGGCAAAACGAAGGACGAGAGAAACTTTCAGCTCCCGTAGGAGCAGCCGACGCCTCGAAAACTTTCTTTTTGCTGCTCTTCTTTTCCTGTTCGAATCAAGCGACCCAATAGTCTGGAACCGGGACGGTCATTATTATCTCGATTACGAGCCGGACCAACAGGAGGAAGAGGAGAAAGAGCCAACCAAGACAGGGCACACAAGGGGCAAGAAGCGAAGGGAACTGGGATGAACTCCCAATCGATGTAGGAAAACCTTGAGATACGATTGAACTCGTCATCGTGCGAGACAAGCCAGCCAGCCGATTCATGCCCTTTCCATTTGGTCAATCAGGCCCCAAATCGGACTGCGCGCGCATCTGATAGGCTGCGATGGCTGCACGTGCTGCATGCGATGAGCTCATTTGCTCGCCGCCGGATTAATCTGCCTATTGGAGTTTGGTTTCAGGATGAACCCGGTTCCGATGTGAGAGAAAGAGGAAAGGTAGGGCCAGACCGCCTTTCGCCGCCCCCTCAAGGCAATCCCGAGGTTTGATGTTTGGTGTTTGATCGATGTTCCGTGGATAACCTGCCCGGCTTGGGTAATTACCCCTGTTGAGGTGGGCGACTTGCCTGGTTCGCGACATTGAATGTGAATGTTGATGTTGATGTTGTTAAGCTGTCATTAAACATTGTCTTACAACTTTTGAAGCCCATGTGGGTGATGCGCCCGTCGCCTTCCCGCACACCTTGCATCTATGCGTCCAAAACAGACCCTTGCGCCCACCGTCAACGCATGGATAATCCGCGAGCTTTCCTGAACGGGTGGAATCCTGCATATTCGTCTCCGGGGCAAGATCTCCATGATTCTACTGTTTGTTTGGTATGGATTACGAAGCGCAAGATAAGCGTTTGTTTCACATTGAGATAATAAATAATTCATTTGGATATCTTGGTTTATTAGATAAGAATACATGCAGGAGAGGCCGTGTTACCAGCGCTCTCAATCCATGATCATATTCGTTTCATTCCCACCATCCATCTTCGTATCAACCCCTGATGATAGGGTCCAAATCCAGTTGGTTTCCCATCACACACAAAGAGGCTTCTTACCAGCCACCACGGCGGCCCTCGAAGCGGTCAGGGGGAGGGAAGCGGCCGGGGTCGAACTCGGGGGCACCGTGTCCGCGCTCGTAGTGCTCCTCGTACATGTGGTGAGCGTTCTTCTTGGCGTGCTCGCGGGCCTTGATCTTGTCGACTTCGTCCATGCCCTTGGTCTCGGCGAGCTTGTCGACCTCAGCGCCAACAACGGCGGCAAGGGCCTCCTTGGCGAAAGCGTGGCTGACGGTCTTGCCTATAGGTCAGATGTGGTTAACATGGCAAACTTCACGTGGCTGAAATGGTTCTGAATGGGGCATGCATACCCTGCTTGCGCTGGTGGTCCTCCCAGGCCTTCATGCCAGCGAAGGAAGCGGCACCGGCAAGGAGCTCGTGGGACAGGTGACCCTCGTGCTTGTTCTCGTACACCTGACGGTGAGCGTCGTCGGATTGATCTAGAGATCCATGTTAGTTACCGATGGCCCTGATAAACGTCGTGTTGGTGATGGCACGAGGCCAAAGACCAGACAAGGGAACCCTGTCAGGCCAGATGGAAAGGTGGAAGTGTGAGAGGTATGTAACTTACTCCAGCCCCAGGCCATGATGATTGACGTATGAAGTAGTAAAAGGGTTTTAGGTAGAGTAGAAAGTTGAGTGTTTGATGAGGAAGAGAAGAGAAGGTTTGGATGGGAGGGGACAGAGCATCTTATATATGTGCTGCCTAGACAACCCTACTCAGCATCTTCAGCTCCCTTGGGGCGCCCCTCCATCGACCATCCTCAGAGTGCCCCACCGTCTAATCTCACGGAAATGCATCGAAAGTCTTGAGGGGCGTCGGATAAAGAACAATATGGTTCGCTCCCGACTGTGAAAGGGTGGATCGAGGGGAAGATCACATCCAGTGAAGGGAGTGGACACAGGCCAGCTGAAACTGCGCAAAGGAGGCAGCGCTTCGAGGGGATAGATGGATCGGGATTTGATTGGAACAGATCATCGCTTAGACGCTACGAGACCGAATAATTGAGCGGTAATGAGGGCGAGAAGCACCCAGCCACAGCCTCGTGGAGCGATGTGATGGGCACGGAATTGTCCAGGAGGGGCAGTCGAGGGGTAAGTTACTAGCCTCAATAAGTTGAAACATCAGGTTCCAATCATGTAAGAGGAATGGTGTATCTCCGGTTGGGGATCCGTGGTCACATTTGGGTGAGCATCGATCCTGTGCCCCTCTTTGTCAATTCTTACGGCCGAGGCAGCGAATGTCTGCACCGCGTACAGGCTACAATGGCGATAGGCTACCACCATCTATCTAGTGAAATGTTCCTGCTGTCGTTTTGGGGGCCATGCAGATGCCCTTGCGTGGTCTCCTGCAGGCCAGTTGGAGTCCTCACGGCCTGGAGCAACGACCATCCGGATCATCGCCTGAGCAAGAGTGCGTACGTACGCGTCCAGGGTCGGAACCACGATGTTATTGCTGGGCGACTGGGTCAAGATGGGGATCTCCTCAGCCTTAAGTCTGGGCGAATCCATTTTGGCCCATTTAGCGCCGCAGCCACAGTTTGCCCAGGCTTGGCGGGCGCGAGATGAGCCGGTCGACCCGGTCAGCTTCTCGTCTTGGTGAGGCTTGTCTGAATATCAGGTGGAGGGTGAGTGATTCCCCCGCCTTTTGGATGATATCTCTAAGTCTATCGACGGAGTATCGGGGTAAAGCTGTCACAGACAAGTGTCAGGAACTTAGTCTCAAACACTTTCAGCCGGCTAGAGAGCCTCCAATCTTCACACCTAAAACTGGGATTCTATTTTGGGTCTCGGACAATCGGGCGAGTGGGCAAAAAGTGGGTGGAATCGGTGGAATCTCCCCACTGCCATTGCCCGATCTGGTCATTTCCTCAATAGTGCGAAAAGTAATGCCCCTCACTGTGGCGCAGTTTCATCCCACCGCGTGGTGGCGGTGTGTGGCTTGGCTAGATACCATCTGTCTTTTCTCCAAAATATTTACTCTGTACTAATAATATCCCTCAATTAATGGCACCCGCCTGCCGAGAATATTATGTCGTCATAGTCGGTGATGTGTTGTTTCACTTAGCGCTTGAGGAGTTCGGTGAGTGTACGCCGTAGTCAACTGGAAAAGTATGCTATTCATTGCCTCATTTGCGTGATATCTTCGGCTCCGGGAAAGTGGTCATCCGGCAAAAAAAATATACTTTCAACATGTGAATCTAATGTCCTCCAATGATGTGCATATGTTGTATGACAAGAGACACATGAATCTGGCATATGCAATAATCCTGTGCATGCATTCAATACTATAGACATGATCTGGAATGACTGTCTGTGAGGGTGGAAGTTACTCAGAGGCATGTCTTTTCAACTCGCGGCCTTACATGGCCTGATCGACGATACTTAGTCTGTCTCTTCCATAGCTTTTGAGTTAGGTGATCAATTGGTGGCCTGCAATAGATTCAGATACATACACGAGAGTATTACAATGGACATCATGGAGTATTGCGAAGTCATGGCAACCATGGTGGTTTCCAATATACTATCTGAATACTCCCTTGATATTAGGGAATATTAGCACTGCGGGCTGTTATCAGTACCACATAGACTGAACTAGAGTATGTGATTTTACTATACGCGACTGTATTAGAAAGAAATGTTAGGCTACTGATGTGAAAGGGCCTCAAATTCAGACCTACCACGGCAACATGCTCTACTGATCGTTGCATATATAACAAAACCTTGTACTATTCGTCCAGTACTTTCGCTTTAGCTTCTAGAGAGCATTTCTTGATAACATATAACACATTGGTAATAACTGATGACAACTGAAAGAATCTTGAGAAGTTAGAGGGCTGGGGAGGCGGGTAGAAAAGGACAAGACACGAAGTAGGTAAAAAGCCTATCTATTAAATGTGTGAACTCTTTTAGGGATGTCATCCTCTTATGAAGGTAAAGACGATGTTAGCTAAGTCTATACACTAATCCATGCATAGCACTATATCCTCTCGAGCGATATCAAGTAGACTTGGCTAGTTTCATCTCATGACCTCTCTTAGAGGTCTGATCTGAGTTGTACTCACAGTGGAGTACACAATAGATATAGACGGGTGAAAGCCCTTAAAATGGTGGATTGAATCTTCATATTGAGTCAACTATCGATAATAAGTAATTTAAACCTGCACACATGCGTCTTCGCAGACTCCCATACACTTAATTGGACCAACTGACTGTCCCTGGTGCACTAGTCCCAAACAGGCAACTAACTGCTTGAGCTTCAAAACTTCAACCAACAACCTTCTATCACACTACAACAATACTACTTTTCTTTGAACCACTCTAAACTATACACGCAAACCACATACTATACACAGGATACCCTAAAGTTACCCCAATATATCCTCCACGAACCATCCACAACAACCACAACCACAACCACAAATACAACAACATACAACCAACCCCGCCAACCTCACTACATCTACCACCACCACCACCACCACCACAACATCACACCAACCACGACCATCTCCCCCTCTTTAAAACCACCCTCCAAACCATTCAACTCAAGTCCAAATCCAAAATGCCACCCACCCCCCCAACCCCCTCGCACTTCCCCCCACACCTAACCCACCACCACCACCACCACAACATCACACCAACCACGACCATCTCCCCCTCTTTAAAACCACCCTCCAAACCATTCAACTCAAGTCCAAATCCAAAATGCCACCCACCCCCCCAACCCCCTCGCACTTCCCCCCACACCTAACCCTAACCATCACGCCCCCCTCCACCACCACCACCACCAGCACCTCCCCAAACCCCTCCCCCAACATCCTCCTCCTCCTCCACGGCCTCGGCGACACAAGCCAAAACCTCACAACATTAGCCCGCGCCCTCAACCTGCCCGAAACCACCGTTCTAACTCTCCAAGCCCCCACCCCCCTCCCCTTCGACCTGGGCGGCTTCCACTGGGGCGACGACATCACATTCAGCCCAGCAGGGGACCTGGACATGGACGCCGGATTCACGCGCTCCACGAATACCATAATCAAGGAGGTGATTGTCGACACATTGTTAAAAAAGTGCGGGTATCGGGGTCGGGATATTGTGGTGTTTGGGATCGGGCAGGGCGGGATGGTGGGGTTGGAGTTTGCTAGACACTTCAGGGCTTCTTTGGGGGGTGGTGATGGGGATGGAGATAAGGAGCTGGGAGGTGTGGTGTCGATTGGGGCACCGGTGGGGTTATCTGGAAAGGCGCCTTCATCAGGGACTGGGAGTGGGAAGAGTAGGACGCCGGTGTTGATTGTTGCGGGCAAGGAAGATGGAGGGGAGAGGAGTACGGCGGTTACTGCGGCTGGGGTGAGGAGGACGAAGGAGTGGTTTGAGTTTGTCGAGGTGAGTAGGTATAAGAGGCGTGGGGATGGGATGCCGAGGAATGCGGAGGAGATGAGGCCTGTGATGGAGTTTTTGGCTAGGAGGTTGAGGAGTTATAAGGGGGTGCCGGAGGGGAGTGTTGAACTTAGTTGAATAGTTAGGTGAATATGGGGTGGAAGATGGGTTGTATGGATGTGGAAGGTGGATGATGAGTCTATTGTACATGACATGCTTAAACTAGATACCTATCTGCTGGCTAGTTGACCTCCTCCAGAGCTGTGCGTGCGCGCTCAATCGTCTCTCTGGCGTCCTTCTCCGCCGTCACTTCTTCGACTTGTCGGCCACCCTCGCGGGCGGTCTCGCGCAGCTGCGTCTCTGTCTCCAGCAGCGCGGTGCGGCCGTCTTCGCGTACCTCGTTCTCGAACCAGTGTCGCGCGGACTCCCATTTGCGCTGCTGGTTGCGCAGCGAGTAGATCAGTCCGATAGCGGCCATCGTGCAGGTCTCGTAGATGGTGGCAGTCGGCAGCGAAACGTAGGTTAGCGCCGACAATGCCGAGGTCAGGGTGGTTGTGGACATGCTGAAGAAGACCAGACGCTGCGCCAATGCCTGCAGCGACGGCACTGTCGTCTCCATGAGCCGGCGACGACTAGTCGCGATCTGCGCTGGCCAGGACGTCTGCTCCTCTTGCATGGGAGTCGCATCGGTTAGCCCGGCCTGCTGGAACCGGCCGGCAGTCCAGATGACCTCCTTTTCGGCCTGGCGCAGGTACTTCCGGTCCAGGATCTCCGAGGTGATCATTCCGACGTCGTCCACATGCCAGAACAGCTTCCACCACGCCAGTCCGCGCCACGGCTTGCTGGCGAACCCTTCCTCGAGCGAGCTGCGGAGCTCCGTGTGCCCACGCTCCGCCCACTCGGACACGGATCGCTCAAGCACATCGCGAGTCTCCCACGACACAGCGCCGCTTTCTTGCTCCAGCAGCTTCCTCTTCTCGGCAGCGGCGGCACCCGCTTCCGCGGCATCCAGAAGAGATGTGATCAACGTCCGCAAGGACGGATCCAGCGTCCCTTCCTCAGCTCGAAGCGAAGACAACCAGTCCACCACCGGCTGCACACCACTGCTGTTCCAGCCACGTTCGTAGAGAGAAGCATTCTGCACCGACTCGCGGAACTTCGCCAATGCCTCTTCCGCCTTGTCAATATCCACAAACGCAACCCGGCCATCGTACTTCTGTGGCTCCGTGACCGCCAGCTCAATAGCCCCAAAGACCGACACAGCTTCTTTCTTCAAGTCCGACCGCGCCATCAACCCGCTATACGCCAGGAATCCATCGACACCGCTACCGCACACGATACTGCGATGCACGGGATACCGCACCATATTATGCCGGCCGGAATGCGACGTGCGGATCGTAACCGTAGGCACGAGGAAGGTGTCAGCCGTAAATGGGTGAGACTGAGTAGCGTCCGCGACGCCTGCCGACTCGGCACCAAGTGTCGTAACGAGGATTTCCAGATTGCCCTTTTTCAGAATTGGCGAGGGCACCGAGATCGTAGGGAGGAGATCGTTGGGGATTGTTTCGGAGACTTCGCCGTACCTGCATATAACTTAGTGCCTGCTCCCCATCATACCATGCGTGTTTGTAAATGTAGACCTACCGAATCAGCAAGCCCCTCTCCGTGTCCTCACCATACGCATCCAACGCATCCTCCCAGCTCTCCCTCGAATTCAACGGGTCCGCCAACAGCAACCGAACGAGTCTGCGCGCCGCAGTCGCATCATTCAAACCCAGAACTGCCCCGATAATTAGCATTACCCCAACCGACCAAAACATCTATCACTGGCTTGGAGAGAAGACAAAGACATACCAGCAACTCGAACAACCGGCTTCTCACTCTCCAATCCCCTCAACGCAAGCTGCAAGCGACTCAAATTCACCTGTTCCGGCGCAACATCCTTGACCCGGTTCAGAGCTTCATGTAGATCCTTCAATCGGGGAGGGATATGTCTTGTGTGGACGACGGATGTGGTCGCAATGCCGCTACGCTGCAAGGATGCCCATGATTGTTGTTGATGTTGTTGCTGTGGTAATTGTAGTCGGGTTCGACGCGAGGAGAGGGAGCGGCGCCAGGTGGAACAGGACGGGCAGTAGAAGACTGATGAGGAGGATGAAGAGGAGGAGTCTTGGATCTGCGACAGGCTCTTGGAGAGCGTGCCGCGGAGTTTGGGAGGCATTGACTGCGTGTTTGGTGAAGAGGGATGGGATGGGGGAGGAAGTGGTGGAGGATGTTGGCAGGGCCGGTCGGAGATTCTGGCGCGGGACTTTCGGCGGTCTTGGCGGAGCGTAGCTTATACCTTAGTCTTATTATAAGCGTAGGCTATGGAGTCTGGGGTAACAATAATCGACGGTAATCAATTGACTATTTTAATAAACTAGCCTGTACAATACGAACAGCTCAATTCATGGTGTATCGATTCATCAACTCATGGTCGAGTCGTCACGGACGCTCGATTGCTGTGCAGGAATTACACAAAGCCCCCCGTCCACCTCTCCATTATGCAATACAGTAATCTTTCGCGACAAAGTATAGGAGCTACTGAATTGCAACTGTCACCACGTTGGCGTTTTTGAGGTGACAGTATATAATTCACCCATACACGGAGTAGTTCATACCCCGAATTGCAGTACCTCTGCATGCCGCTTCGAAAGATGCTGGTTCAGATGGAACACCCAGTTACTTCCTAATCGCTCATGCTTCTCGAGAATCCCGAGTAGCATCCCTTTGTCGCCGAGTCTTGCCCGATCCCGCCGACCTGAAACTCGTTAGTATGATGGTCTGGAACGATCATTCTGCTTCACTTACATGCTAATCCGCCTGGCCACAGTCGCCAGCCCGGCGTCGTTCTCTGCCTCATGATGCGCCCGCTCAAAGGCAATGCGTCTGTCTTCTTCGCTGCGCCGGATGACCTCCTCCTGCGACGGGGGCAGACGTTCGTTTTGCAGATCGACCTTGCGAGCATCTTCAAAGTTGGTAATGGCCTGCTTGATACCCTCCGCTCCCAGCATCAGAGTACCCGCTGGGAGACGACCTCCAGCAGCGGTCTTGAGTTCGGTGACCCGCTCGGACTCTTCACGCAACACCTGGAATACACGCGACAGACGGCCAATGGCAAGAATCTTGTTCTTGATCGCACGTCGCTTGAACTCGCTGCTTTCGATATCCATCGCCGCAGGAGGAGAGGGGGGTGCAGCGGTGGGCGAGACCGACGTGGGGGTATCATCTTCAAGTTCCTCCTTGGAGCAGGTGTTGAGAATGGCAATAAGCATGTCCGTAATCTTCTCACCGACAAAGGGAAGCGACCAGGTGAAGACGTCCATGAAGTTGGGGAGCCAGTACGGGTGAGGGGTGCAGTTGAACTGTCGGATATTCATGACGTTGTTCTCGTATTTCAGGACGGCGGCCTTGTTGTTGTAGACATCCAGGTAGTTGGGAGCACTGAAGATGGTCATGACACTGGGGAAACCGGTCGTACGTGTCTTGCGGTACATGCGGTAACCGGCATCCTGTGCCTCGTGCGCCCGAATGATGGAGAGAAGGTTGTTCTTTTCGAGGAAAGCGCACGCCGCGGGGTATGAGAAGAAATACGAGCATCCACGGACGCTGTTGTGGATGAAGTAGTCACCGGTCTTCTCCTGCCCGAAGTCTTCCAGAGGATCGGCCCAGAGGATGTCGCACATCAAGCCATGAGTCGGGGGCTCCCTAAAACGATCAATCTGTCGCCAAGTCAGCCAGCAATCCACCAGATGTAGTGTTCAGCCCATAACATACCGCCTTAATATCTTCCAGAGTGTGCAGCTCGGGACTGAGACCTCCGTGGATACAGAGGAACTGCTTGTTCATGACCGCCGCCAGCGGCAAGGAGCAAAACGATTCGATGCATGCCTCGTAAATGCGCTCGCTGTATTTGTGTTTGCACTCGAGCTTGAAAGTGAAGTAGTCCGTCAAATGCCGACATTCATGATTACCCCGCAGGAGCCAGAGCGTATTCGGATACCAGATCTTGAGAGCCCAGAGATACAGGACACACTGTAGCACGCGAGTCAGTGGATGTGGCAATTACCGGACAGCTTGCGATCACACGAACCTCAATACTGAAGTAACCTCTATCCACATAGTCACCGAGGAAGAGATAGCGCGTCTCGGAAGGATCTCCGCCGACCTCAAAGAGCTTCATTAAGTCGTAATATTGTCCGTGAACATCACCGCACACGGTGATGGGCGCATCCATCTCCAGCAGGTTGGGTTCAGCCCTGAGGAGCTGAGTACCAGCCTGTATGATCCATAGCGCCTGATCTTCAGTGAGACGACCTTCGCGGTAGAAGTGCTGCTTGAGGAACTGCAGGTTGGGCTTAGAAGGGTCTTCACGAGACCAGAACAGGTCGTCCGGCGGGGTGTTCAACGCCGGCGCTTGCACCTCTGAAAGACCAAAGAGTGATTAGGAGAGCGCTCATGCAGATAGTTAAGTAGAGGGAAGGCAGAGAGAGAAAAAGACATTGTGGCGTTACCTTTAATTACTCGCTCCATGGTCGACACCTGAGTGCCATCTTCCATAACATGTAACGTAAAGTCGATCTCCGGGACCGGCTTTTTATCCGTCACCGCACGCGCGATAGTGCGATCCATGGTGACTTAAGTGATAGGGAAGACGTAGATCTTGGATCTGGGGAAATCGCAAGAACGTCGTGCCCCGGGGGGTTGCGAGGAGGCGAAGAAAAGGGGAAAGACACCAGCGCGGAGGCCAGTTGTTGGTGGGGGGTTAAGCGGCGGCGGGATTGGATTTCACACGCGAGACAGGCGGAGATCGCGAGGACTGGCCGTTGTAAGGAACAAGCTGGTCGGGGGGTCACCAAGAGTCCTACGAAGTGGCGATTCCGAGGATGACAAGGGGGAGGGGAGCGAAATAGGGTTGGAAAAATTGAGGCTAAAGCGTGGGTCAGGGACAAGGCGAGAGGGACGAGCGAAGAGTGAAGGAAGATGGAGAGAGGCGCCGGGCAGTGCAACCCGAATAGGAGAGATGGAGAATAATAAGAGGCTGAAAAAGACTGCCTGACCACCTTTTTTCTGCAGAGAGCCACTAGTAAAGATGATTCGGAAGAATAAGCCAATTATTGTGTAAGATAAATACTACTAAGTAACTAGTTCCCCCTCTTCGTATTCAAAGATTCAATCCATTCAATCTAATCTCTTTTCTCTTCATTGCAAGAAAGAGAGTCTCACTCGACGTCAGAACCAACCGTAAATACGGTAATTCTCAGCCGGCGGATCATTCCGCTTCGTTACAGTCCCTGTAATTAATTACGCCGTCCGCGGGGAATCTCATCCATCATTGATTACTCTTGTTTCCTCTCTTTCTAGCTTATCAGTCTTACATCTTACCGTATACTACCCATCACTCATCATGTATGAATCCTATCGTCAGTACCCTCCTTCATCTTCTGTCTTGACCTATCACTGACTAACGACAGGCCCCCATCCCCTGCTGGCTCAGGTCCCCTTGACCGTTTCCCCCTTCATCAACCTCCCCACTTCTGTCACACTTCCCTACACCTACAAGTCCGTTCCCTCGACCATACCCCCTTCAGTAACAGTCGACCCAAGTAACCCCGATGTCAAACCCCGCTACGTGGTCTCATCCAGTGGCGAGCATGCCGCCTCTCCAGAAGAGATCCTAGCCTCCTGCAACGCCCTCGAACAGCACCTGAACAAGACGCGCGCCGATGCCGAGAAAGCAATCCGGGGCTGGGAGGACTCAATCACCCAGCGCGACCTCGCAGAGAAGCGACGTGTGGCTCCCGGATGGCTAGACAGGGACGAGAAACTACTTCAACCGAGTAACTCTGCCACTGGGCCTAGAGCACATAGCCAACCTCAACCCAGTCTATTGGACAGCTCGTTCTCCGACCCCAGTGCGGCCACATTACCCTCCATGGTGCCGCGAGACGAAGGCGAAGAACTGGACAGAGCATTTGGTGGGCTGGACGTGAAATGAGAGCTGCGCGATGATGTTCTGAAATACAATATACCGGAATAGCTTGGGTGAAGGCCATAAACCGCGCCATGGCCGCTGAAACCGCTGCAGGTGGATGCTATGGGCCCTTGCTTTGGCGGGGATAGTAGCGCACTTCCTTCGTCGCAAGCCACGATAAAGTTCAAGCTTGTGCGCACCGGATTCTGCAAGAGATCACCAGTGCAGGGCGCTCTGCATCTGAACCAGCTGAACCGCGGCAGTGCGCGACCTGCGCCAACAAAAGCACAGCCATATAACCCTCTGGTACCGCCGAGAACTAGCTCAAGCAATCTCACAACAAACAAACCTAGTATCAAACACAATAATATCAAATATTCCCATCAATATTCCACAGGAGTATACCTAATCAAAAGACGAAACCAACGTAGAAACCAACCGTGGTAGATAGAACCCCACCCGCCCGGCGGATATCAACTGCCATCACCAGCTACTGATAATCTAGCTTTTGCTCCGCCCGCAAAGCTCCATCCATCATCTTCTCATTTTCCCACCCTTCACCACCTACCACACATCCTCAACCTCCCACCTCCAAACAACCTTCATCCAACCCTCAAAATGGAATCCATCACCGCACCCCCCGACACAACAACCTACATTCCCCTCGCCGAGCACCAATCCCGCACCCCAAGCTCCTTCCACTCCGGCCCTCCAATCCTCTACTCGCAGCACCAAAACTGCAAACTCGTGCTCCTGGAGCGCGAAGCCCTCGCAGTCCCAGCACTAGGCGCTCTGCGCGATGCCTCCACCGTAAACGGCACCACCGAAGAAGCAGAAGCGGAAGATAAGGAGATCGTCATCCCCAGGGTGAACGTATGGGTTACGTCTGAGTGAGTAACCTCCCATCCTCCATCCATAACCAATACATCGTCAAAAAGAAAGATAAAGCAAAACCATACTAACGAGAGATAATAACCAAATAGAAAATTCCTCCTCCACAACCCCACAACCAACACCGGCCTCTCAATCCCCTACCCCTCCATCTCCCTGCACGCCATCCAGCGCCTGCAGCTCCCCAACACCGACCCCCAATCCCAAGCCCAGGTCCAAGGCCTATACATGCAAATCGCCAACCCAACTCCTTCCTCCTACTCCTCCGCCGACGACGAAGAAGACGCCCTCACCGTAACAGTTGTGCCCGAGAACCCCGCTCAGGAATCTTCTACCCCCGCCGCCGCCGAGGAAGGAGACGAAAAGCCCGAAACCCCCACCCAGACCCTCTACGCTGCTGTGTCGGCGTGCTCGAATCTGCATCCGGATCCGGTGGAGCCGGGCGATGAGGACGAAGATGATTACGAAGGAGAAGGAGGAGCGTTTCAGTCTGGGTTAGTGTCTATGGGGAGTGCGGAGGGTGGGTTGCCGCCCCCGGTGGAGGGGAGTTCCGGGTGGATTACGGCGGAGAATATGCATGAGTTCTTTGATGAGGAGGGGAATTGGATTGCTGGTGGGGAGGAGCCCACGTTGCCTTTGGGGCCTGGGGCCGGGACGGTGAGGCAGAGGGAGGAAGGGGAGGGGGAGCGGGTGGATGGGGAAGAGGGTGTTAATGGGGATGGTAGTGGGGAGGAGACGAAGTGGAGGAGGACGGATTAGACTGTTGGTTGGTCTACCCAGCTCTCTTTCTTGGTCTTTGCTTGTGTACTATCTCTACTACTTAAACCGATGGCGTGTGTTGCGGAATACTTTTGTAATGATAGATGCTACTTAGTTACTTGTTATGAAACAGATCAATTGCCAAGTACTACTTTGAGGGAGGCTAGTGACCATCATCTTTAGATTAATTTTTATTAATCCTACCTATTACCTAAGTTCATCTTTACAGTGGAGGGTAGACACGCCCGCACGCTAGCCAAGCAAAAGGAAACAAGAGAAACAATCAACGCCGCTATCAACTATCAGTCCATCCATGCGCCCTATTCTTTCAGGAACCCATCTCCATCATACAAGCTTCCCGGCGTGGCAGCCCCGATTCCCAGTCCAACAGGCTTTTTCGTCGGGGTTCGAAATCCGTGTCGGGAACTGCCAGGGCCGGGCTTCAATCGGTGGCTCTTTGCCCGCCCAACTTGGGTTGAAGGTTCGCTGGGCGAAGTAATTGAAGAATTCCTGGGACCCTTGCCCTTGGGTTCCAAAGCCCGGTCTTCCCAGATGGGAACTATGATGCCGCTGTTCGCAGTTGGCGGCTTTGGCACAGCGGCTGCTGGCCGCCAGAGCTGCGCCTGAGAATAGCTGATCGGAGAAACAATGTGATGCGGACTACCCTGGTACCGCGGGGGCACCATGTTTTTGGGGTCGTTCTTCGAACGCAATGGTGATTCGGCTGTGTTGCGTACCGGTTCTTTGCCCATACTGGCACCGCGCGAATGACGCATCGGTGGACTTGACTGTGTCATGGCATTATCATCGAGGGGGTTCAGTGAGCGGAAGCTGCTGCGTGCTGTTGATCGCGGCGGAGGTTGACGCGGCCCCTTGACGGCTGTACGGCGCGGACTGCCAGGGTTCGAGGAGTTTTCGAATCCCGTCGGCGAGCTGTTGTAATGCGGAATCATCCAGACCGGACTGTTCTTTTCCGGAGATGGCGTAGTCGACAGGTTGGTATCAATCCTGGGGGGCGGTAGAGTCGTCACAATATCAGGCAATGTCTTCTCCATGTCCATGATACTCAGAGTGCGATCCCCGGCATCAGTAGGTGAGTTCACCTTGAGCTTCGGCGGTCCTCCCTGTGAGGGTTCATCTGGAATTTCCGTAACTCGCGGGTTTTCCTTCTGTTGCTCGTCATAGCTGGCCCGACTCACTGCAAGGCCTGAACCGTTGGACTGGAGTGAAATATGGGAGATAGATGGATTGGGAACTTGTGCCCGGCTGGTATCAATTTCGTCGGTCTCCTCGGGCTCCTCGGCCGTGGGCGAGAAGACTGGGCCACCAAACGTGATTGGAGGATGTATCGAGATCCGAACGCAGTTCTGCCGCCGATGGCCTTTGCGGGTGCTACTGCTCCCTTTGAGTGCAGAGGGCAGAGGGGGTTTAAGGTGACTGTTCGGGCCTAGCAGAGGACCATCCGGAATCCCAGTGGTACTAGGCTTCAATCGAGGGTCAGTGCTCAAGGCAGAATTGCTCATCACGTTGTAAAATGGATCGAGCTCGTTCTTCTGATCACCATACATCGACCGGCGTTGCATTTGACTGAAATGTGGCACTAAGGCTCCATTGGGTACTGGATTGAGGGAAGGCGGGCGGCTCAGATCCAGAGGCTTCACCCACAGGGATGAGTCTCGCTTGGCTTTTATTTCAGACAGAGACTCGGTTCGTCGTGGCGATGGACTGACGCGTTCCGTCGAATGAGCCGGGCTCCGTGTGGTCATGCTTCGACGCGGAGAAGAGCGAGGTGATGATTCAAGTCTCCTGGCTTCCCACGCGGTGCCAGAATTTGACGGGAAGACGAATTGAGATGGTACGACTGGAGCTGGCCCAAAGCCTCTTCGATCATACTCCATCCGTCCAACATCGTTGGCATCAAACGGGGCGAATGTGGGACATGGAGGCAAAGCGGGCGATGTGAAAGTACTGTCGACATTTGTCGACGTTCTTCTGCTGTCCTCCAGAATGGAGCTGTCTGCGGTTTCGAGACTCAGCGAAGAGAGACAAGTTGAGTCATTCCTTGACAAACGGAAGCGGTTTGGCGGATAGGCACACGGTGGTGGAGGTACAGGTTGATCGGGCGCAGACCCGGCCGTTTGAGCAGTTATGCTTCCCCCACGTACCCGACCATCGGATGGGTTGCAACCGTCTTGTTTATCCTCCATGAGCGGGTACAGGCTGCCGGACCGCTCCCTATGATGCTTCAATGGCCATGTCCCCGAGCCTGGTCGGTTTGTGAGACTTGCTTTCAATTGCTCTTCTTCTCGGTCTGGTGTATGCCGCGGTGTGGTCTCCGTTGCTAGCTCGAACGCACCCTCGACAGCAGAGTTCGGCACGTTATCGTCGATTCCAGATACTGTAGGTGAAGCCGATTGCCGCTTCTCTGAATGCTCCGTTAGTGGGGACAGTGAGCTGAGTCGTTGCGGTCCTAGGAGGTGTCGTGACAACCGCGCAGAGCGGCTTGAAAGAGACCGTGATAGTGAACGACGCATGTCACGGGCTTTCTCGTCCAAGGGAGATGACGTGTCGGAGTCCGTAGGGGATAGAATCAGGCTCTCGCGAGATGAAAGGACTCCCCACTCAGACGGCTTTCCATATGGGAGCTGTCCATACTGTCGTAGTGCGGTGCCCTCCTCCCGCGAGAGTTCTGTCAGCGTCTCCCCCTGGTATTGTTGTAGAGCAAATCCATCCTGTTTCGCGTTTGCCACCGCCAGCGACAGGCGATCCTGACGGACTCTTATCCAAATAACCGTGCCAACTATCGCAGACACTATGAAGACGACGGAGCAGCTCACGGCTATCGCTATTACCGTGGTCAATGGCGGCATTGTCGTTTCTTCCTGCTCTCGGTGCCAGAGCTGGCAGAACCTGGTTCCTTTAGACTTTGAGTAGACGCTTCAACCCATACACTCGAGCTGGTACCTGTCCCAGTGTCTATACCAGTTCCGCGATGGTTCCGGACGGCATTCAACGGCGCCGAAGACCAGGCAAGAGTAGCAACTGCTAGCCACGGAAACGCCAGCACAAGGATAATCAGAGAACAGAGAGATCCATGATGGATGGGAGGAAACGCGCTCGTGAGGGAGCGTTGCGTTTGTTATGGCAGCCGGCTGGGGCATGGGAATGTGGTAGCATTATTGTCGGCTCGCGAGGAATGCTGCGATGTCAACCAACCATCCTCCCCAGCGAGCTATTAACTGGCGATAGGGAGCCCTCATCAAACTGAAGCTCGGTCCCAGAATTCCTGTAATGTCTCGATTCAGAAAATAAGTCGAGAATAGACCATCGCCAAGATGCTAGCAGATCTACAGGAGGCCGCAGAGTTTCCACTGATAACTAGAAGAATGTTAGCGAAACCGTCAAGAATTGAGCACCCCTGGAGCTCGTGGAACATGGTAGATTCCAACGAGTCCCTCTTCATGGAGACCATTATCGTGCAACTACTTTCGCTTGTATTGTTGGTTATTAACAGCAAACTACTACTTTGTAAAGGACTATGTACGTCCTGGGTTGAAGGAATCCAGTAGCCCTTCTTGGCATGCCAAATGGCACCGCATGCAGGCTCAAGTCTGAGAAAACCACGAGTATATCACAGAAGGCATGAAACACCTGCATTAGCAACGCAGCTCCCTGCGCGTGTCTTTTCTTCTTCTCAGCTTCGCGTGGTAAAAGCGCAAGTGGAGGTGGAAGTGGAGAGTCCCCGGGAAACCCCAATCGGGCAGCCGCTGTCACGGGGGTGCGGGACGGAAATACGATGAGTCCGGATCCGCCGGCCTCTCGGATTTGGAGAAACAAACGAGGTTGACTAATGCCGAACTTACTCAGTGTTCATGTCTCGTGTCTCCTGATATTTCCGAGGTCATCGTCTGATTGAGGCCGTCAGATGCCAGAGGGTCCCGATCCCGATACCGATGGGGACTTCGGTGAGATAAAGAAAGCAAGCGAAAGCTGCAGAAGCAGGGCATGGGGCGCCTGTTGTCAACCCACGCCCGGATACCCCCAGTCTGGGCGTCTTCACCCGCCTTGGAGACTATGGGACCGCTTAGCGTCAGTAGAACCCACCAGACGAGAAAGCTGGATGGAGTGAGCGTGGCCAGTCGGGGCAACTAGACTTATCCTCGATAGCCAACCCCAAACTCTGAATAATGCGAACTCCAGAGTAGGAGCCAACCAACTGCATAGAGGGGGGCAATGGCCCAGTTAACCCCTCACCGGCGCGGGGGGCTCCTAGTGGGCTTGCTGTCCTAATAGTGTTTTCGTTGCTGGCCGTAGTGGTGTGTATATCTAAGCTCCAATCTATACGATATAAAGCTGTCCGCCACCTGGCTAGGCTGTCTCACATCTTCACTTCGTTCTCTCCCGACTCTCCTGCGTTACCTGAGAACTTTCTCTCTTTACACCCCCTTTCCACCCATAGATCCGATAATGGCTGCCAGCCCTCAGAAAGATGGACTCTTTGTCCATGACAACACTACCGCTCCCGCCCACCCCGGCTTGCTGAGCATGTTCTCACTGAAGGGCAAGACTGCCATCGTTACAGGCGCCGGTGCTGGCATCGGTCTTGCCGTAGCTAGTGGCCTGGCTGAAGCCGGTGCAAATGTGGCCATGTGGTATAGCAGCAACCCTAGCTGCATCGAGCGGGCCGCGGAGATTGCCTCCAAGTATGGTGTCCAGGGTCAGTAGCCCTCAGACCATTTTCCCCACTTACCGCCTGGCATACTTTGCTAATGCTCATTCCAGCCCAGGCGTACAAGGTTGAAATCACCAAGCCCGAAGCCGTGCAGGAGGCCGTTGACCAGGTTGTGAAAGACTTCAACGGCCGACTGGACGTTTTCATTGCCAATGCCGGTGTCCCCTGGACTAAGGGTCCCATGGTCGACGGTCCGCTGGACCACTACCAGAATGTGGTTGATGTCGATCTGAACGGGACATTTTACTGCGCCAGGGCGGCAGCAACCCACTGGAGGAGACAGAAGGAGGAGGGCACCGATATCAACGGTAACGCACTTAACAACTTCACCTATGGCAGCTTTGTGGCGACCGCTTCCATGAGCGGTCACATTGTCAACTTCCCTCAGATGCAGGCAGCATACAATGCCTCCAAAGCGGCCGTTATCCATCTCTGTAAGTGAAGCGGCCTTGGAGATATAGACTTGCATCGTACTAATTCCCTATGCAGGCAAGTCGCTGGCTGTCGAGTGGGTCAGATTCGCACGTGCCAACACCGTCTCCCCGGGATACATCGCAACAGAGATCTCGAACTTCATCCCAACTGAGACTAAGACCGTCTGGAAGGATAAGATCCCCATGGGTCGCGAGGGAACACCCGAGGAGCTGAAGGGCGCGTATCTGTACCTGGCATCGGATGCATCCAGCTACACCACTGGAGCAGACATTGTGGTTGACGGCGGCTACTGCGCCCCATAAGCTTTTGATGATATAGATGGCATTTTATGATCTGTACATTTCAACTTGCAGCGATATATATGAAAGACATATTACACGATAGACGAAATGAACGACTGGACTTCTTCACGATCAAGCCCGTTCGTGGCGCTTCTTAGATTCAACCACACCCGGTCAGGGCCAAGGAACCAGGCCAACCACTTCCCGCCAACCACTACCATAGATCCTTGCATAAGCCGTGGCTTGCAGGTTGCAGGACATCAATATTGGGGATCGGCGGTGACGTAGGTCCACGATCGCGTGAGGTCCCCCGGAGTAGATCACAGTAATGTGACCTACTTTCACCCACACACGAGGCACCTCAGCATGTCTCTCTATTATGTATTATCCCATAACGACCGACAACAAATGGAACCCATCCGCTCAACTAGTAGAACCAGAAGACGATGGTCCCTCCTGTACCTTTTTCACCACCCACTTCACCACTGAATCCACCATCTCATTTACCCATTCCCCTTCATCTTCATCTCCATCCACAGAATAACAATCGTCTGACATCTCTGGAATAATAGGGAAGGGCGGCTCCATGACCCCTGGGTATATAACGGATGTATCCGGGTCGAAGTATCTCGAGAGAGGGGTTGCGGGGGGAGCAACATAGCCATTGGTGGTGAATTGGTGATCACTGCAGTAAGACGTTGTGTTCATGTTAGTCATCTTTTTCATTTTATGTCATTGTGCGTGGGATGTATTTCCCATGGCTTGATGTGCCTGGTAGGTTCAGTAGGAAGCGTGAGATTTAGATGTAAGCAATGGTAGAGTTGACGTGGTTGGTCGAGGAACGTGGGGTGTAGTATACATACCGGTGAAGATGATCCAGTTCGACTTCGTGTTGGTAAACGGGGAGGCGGGAGTAATTCGGAGTGGTATATTTCCGGAATATAGAACGGATGGCCTTGCGGTGCTGAATGAGGAGAAAGAGGAGGGAGAGAAGGAGACAGGTTGTTGGGAAGAGGGGGATCATGTTGATGGAGTATGTAGATGTTTATTCTCCTGTTCCTCAGGCAGGAATCTGTTAGTGTCGAGAAGTAGGTCTTTACTATGCGATGTGGATATATTACTACCATCTCAACAAACCAAACAATCGTTAACAACATCATTCAAACAGTGGATATTCGTTTCTGGTAATTGTTATTATTGGTTTTTCCCATCAGTTCTCGTCTGATCGAAATTAATTGAACCGGATCGTTAGTCCGAAGTAGTTAGCAAGACTGACGCATCTTTTCAGTCATGTCAGTCATGCCAGTCATATATCAACCAGAAGATATTATCATTCCCACAATACATTTCCTTGCCTACTAATATTCCCCTTTACTACAAAACCCAAGAAAGAGGAAAAAAACCATGGCCGAACTTCCACTCTTTTCTTCTCTGAGAGAAGAGCTGAATTCACCACCTAAGATATCAATCCAAATCATAGGATCAAAGCTCACAGACGAGCAGGTCAAGGAAATTGACTTTGATCTTTGGGTTGACTGTACGAAGATGGTTGGAATCAAGTCGATTAAAGCATCAACTAGTACTGAAGAAATATGTCACACCTGGCAGAACCCATCCAAGAGCCAGGGAAATCCCGAAGATATGCTGGAAAGATGGCTGAACTACTGGTTGAATGACTGTGAAGAAACAGACAGAAGGTAGTATTTATCTGCTCCTTCCCCTTAGTTCTCCCTACCTTATACTGATAATTTATTTTATCCAGCTGGACATTGCAGAAGTCAGTCTCTTTTGGGCAGGAAGAGCTCGGCGCGATGAAATTCCACATAAAACTCCTGGCACGCGAAGCCTATTATCGGGGCTCGATTGAAGTCATTTTACATGCGCCCTCTTCTGAGCCCGATTATAATCCTCTGGGTTACGAGAGCGCAGACAATGCACGGCTTCAAGTTGAATGGAGTTTTGAGTGCCCTTTCAGGCCCATTGACCACAACTCGAATTCCATACTTCAGTATGCAATGAAACTGCGGAAGAAGGGCTGGGTGGATCTGAACGGACCAACGCCCTCTTATGGGCAGCTTATGCGTCGAAGAGCGCCCGCTTATGATAGTTTGGATGACAGCACAATCAGGGATAGACTACTCTGGCTGTGGGGCCGTGATGGTCCGCCATAAATAGGACAAGTGGGCTTTTTTTTTGGATAGCTATTAGCCAGCAGTGATGGTCTTTGGAATGTTACTTGTTGCAATTTGGGGTCTTGTTTCTGATCTAAGATCTTGTGTATACATTGTCTGAGATGTCCTGCAGCACTACTGTGAGAACAGAGCTGCGTACAGCAGTTGGCTGTTCAGTACGTTTGCTATATGAAAAAAGAGAGCGAAAAAAAGAGGGTCGGCATGGTATAAGTAAGTTATACACCTGGTTCTAAAGCAGGAATATTTTTTTTTCATGTCCTTTGGTGGTTATATCATGTGACCACATAGGTGATACCAACCATTCAACCAAGAAAATAACTTGAGAATCAGGCAAACCATGCGTGTACCCGATGATTTTAACCTAGTAATTATCCATCCAAGATCCCTAGGATAATCGGGTACTTCCTTCAAGTGTTCTTCATTCCTAGACCTTGCAGGAGTATAAAGGGCAATCACGACCGGGATCTACAGATATGTATTTCCATCACTACTATGTACCTACTAGTAGTACTTCTGCTACTACTAGTAAGCAGCAACAACCCTCACCTGACAGCTCCGAGTCCCCAACCCACATCACTTGACTCCCCTACAAAGTATGAACTCGAACCAGCTGAGTCCGTCCCAATCCCCATGATCTCCCTCTCTCATTCCTCTGCTTTCGTCACTTTCATCGCTCTACTAACACCAAATACAGGATTTCCTCTTATCATCCTCCAATGACCCCATCACATTCATCTCAGCTCCGACATCATGTGCCCGGTCCCGGAAGCCATATCTTACCACCAATATATACAAATGGAACTATCACCCATTCTTTCATCACCCAAGTATGAGGATATTCATGAAACAATGCGGCACTTGCCGATAATGGATTGTCGAAAATCATTGTATACTCTGTACTATATATTCTTCTTATGCCCTGAAAGAATGGCATAGTAAGCTCGAAGCTATTTTTGTTCTGGATACTCTTCTCAACTCTTCCCTCTATACCACCATATATGGAACTAGTATAGCATTCTTCCCCTCCACCACACCCAACTACTATCAGATCCAATACCGGAACCTATGATCCAAATGTACCAACCAACATCATGCCTCATGCTACACATCATCCTCCCCTTGATGGAGAGGATATGGCAATGGTACGTTTCTCTCACTCTCATCCCCGATCCTCCTCCTCTCGCATCCACACACACAACCAAATCAATCCCTTTCAAACCATCCCGCACAGAAAGAGTTGAAGAGAAAACCATCCATAAAAAAGAACAACCAAAACCTACCCCCCAAAAGACTCTGAATTTGTCCCTGAGAGAACAAAAACAGAATGCCTCCCTCCAAGAAGCCCTCTCCTGCACCAGCTGCACAATCACCCGCATCCCCAAGGACATCTACTATGAAGATCGCATAAAAGGCATCTACGATGTCTCTCGCGATCCACCGTTCCTGATCCCAGGCCTCACCACCACCACAGAAGACAAAGAAATACCACCCGACGAAATACCCCCAGCCCCTAAAGAAGGCAAAGGTAATAAACAAGAGCAATCACCAACATACACACACCTCCTCACACCAACCCAAGAACAATCCTACAACACCCAACTCCAAATCTACCTCAGCCACGACCCGACAAACGACCACAAGTTCGCAAAATACCTCGTGGACTACCACATCCACATCCATTACCTTCTGCGGCGCAGCATGCTAGGTCTCTGTCGGGACGTGGCCGATCTATACGAAATGAAAGATTGGATGAAGAGGATGCATCCCGTCAACCATGAGGATGAGGCACCTGTCAGTGCTGCTACTGGCATTTACACTCCCCAGCCCCAACTCGGACCGTCTCAGAATCTCTATTCTCTGAGAAGTCAGAATTACCGCAAACGTCACAGTCGACAACAACAATCCTATCAATCTCCCTTCTACCAACCACAGAGACAACACCTCCCCCGCTCATCACTCTCATCCTCCGTCTCATCATCAACAGAAGATGACCGCCCAAGCGACTGGCCAGGCGACTCGAACCGACAGATGAAATATCAAGTGAAACTATGGGATAAAGGCGCAAGAATGAGGAGGAAGCGCTATAAGGAGAGTCAAGCCCGGTGGGCGGTTATACAAGAGGAGAGGGCACGACAACGGGAGATGATGATGATGATGATGATGCGGAGTAGGAATTTGCCTAGAATTACTAGTCCGCGTATGGTGAAAAGGGGTAGTGGTGGTGGTGTCAAAGTGAGGTTATATTGCTCGACGCAGGTACCAGGTGTTAGTGGTGATGGGTTATACTACGATGGGAAGAGGAGGTTCTTGAGGGAGGTAGAGGTCGAGGAGATGGCATTTGGGGAGGTTATTAGATGACTAGGAGTATTGAAATGGATTATGAATTAATGAGCTATCTGTCCGGTATAGTGGAGTGCCTTTTCCAGTTTCCTTCTCAATCTCCCCTCTAAATTACATGTGATAAGTCAGGGGTGAGGATGGGGTGGAATGTAGGAAGGTGACCATCCATTCTTGAAGCCGGATGGATGGAATGCGAACAAACCGAAAGCAATAATGAAGGTGCACCACCACTCCTTGACATGTGAGAGATACCGTAACCGTGTCTTTACTGTGTTCAACTGCACAAAGACAATCTATCATTCATAGCATGATTCATACTCTCATATCCTATCATCAAAATCTACCTGAAATCCAAGTCATAATATGTCATATCCAACTCAAAATATGTCACCCACAACGAGAACCGACCCCAAACCAAAAATTCCATCACTCCACAGACAAGCAATCATCCGGATCAAAGTACCCGCCAGACGACCGCATCCCAAAATGCATTGCTTCAATCGCCTCGTGCCCCTCATATTCATCTTCCCCGTCTAACCTCTCTTCACCTTCCTCAACCACATCCTGTGCGGTAAGTTGAGCAACCACCTTCTGATTGACGCGGTAGCAAGAAAGAATCTCCGACGTCACTGGTCGTGCCGGTAAGGTGCTCGATTTGATCTGGCAGAGGACCTCGCCAAAGGCATGCATGACGAAGCTGGCGCGCGGGTATTCGTTATATGTGTAAGATGCAAGGACCCGGAGCCACTCGTCACGGCAGTGCTGCCAGACCAGTATCACTGGGTGATCGCCTTCCGGGGGAGGAATGGATCTGGCCTCTCCTGCAGCGTCCAGCGCGTGAGGGGAGAACGAGTCCTGACTTCGGGAAATTGCTGTGTTCCATTGGATGTAGAGTTTTCGGATCTTTTCTCTCATGCCCTTAGCGGCGGCGAATAGCTGACCGCGTTGGCCTTCGTTCTTGATCTTTTCGCGGATCGTACGCCAGGGCCGTGTCAGGTCTTCGTCTTTGCGGAAGGATGCCTCCTCTTCTGGGAACTCCGCCTCGAGTTTGGTCAGCATCTTGTCCCGCTCCTGCGTCGCGACCTCGAACCGGAGATAATCGATGATGTTGGATTTCTTGGGTTTCCGGCCGGGTTTCTTGTATGCGGGGAGTTCGCGTGCCCGGGGGCTGATCTTCTTGCGGTATTGCCGCCATGCTTGCTCGGATAGGTGGACTCCTGCTTTGCGGCCGTCGACTAGGTGACTGAGGAGACAGGCGAGTTCCTTCGCTTTGTCTGAGTCAATTGACTCCTCGTCGTAGGCGATCATTTCATGCTCCACGGTACAGCGACCTAGGTTTGACAGGGTCAAATTGAATGTGAATGAGCTCTGGAGGAACTCATCCATGGATTGGATGGCTTCCATGTCTACAGCATACTTAGTAAGTCCATAATGCTCCGGCGGAAACTCTGTATCTGGCAAGTCGGAATTGTAGAAGTTCCGGACGATGTTCTGGTCCCAGCAGATCCAAGGAGTATCCCCATCGTAATCACCACCTGAGAGCATATGTGCCAATGGTATGTTGCCAACACTGGGAAAGACAATTACGTCTTTAAAATGTCGTAGGTCTTGCTTCCACACTGCCTTCCGGCGTTGGATATCAGAGGGCAGATGGGCGGGAAGACGGCCGACGAGGACGTCAATGCCATCTAGTAGGATATCTTCAAATTGCCCCTTTCCATCGCGCCAGACGTTCGAAAAGCCAAAATGAACTTCATCCTCCTTTAAGACTCCGTATGGGTCAGCAATGCAGAATGCGTATGTTGAGAGGGGCACTTCAATGCGAAGTTCGTCCACATGCCGCTTCAGGAGTTCTCGTAGGCACTTCCCTAATCGCTTACGAAGGAAATGGAAGCTCCGAGGGCAGAAGCCAGCTTCAGTAAGGCGGATTATAAACTCGACATCATTGCTCATCCAATTTTCGAAACGCCAGGTCCTTTGAGACACCGGACCAAAGCTATCATCCCCGGAGGGCCGGATTTTCTGCACTAGGCTCCGGCAGAGCACTGCGCTGTCGGATTGAAGAACGTCCGCAAATTCCTGATATAACGATTGAATTCCTAATCGAGTGAGATCTGCGAGATAATCCTTAATGTGCCCACCGTGATCCAATATGCTCAAAAGCTGTATATTCAGATTCACGGGATGCAAAGGTTTAGACCATTTAACAACCTCAAAGGTAAGTTTCTCATCGTCTACCCACCCATCCCACTCGTGAGGATGCGGCCTTATCTTCAACTGCGAGTCGGATATTTCGATCCATACGTCGTCGTCAGCTGTGACTTGAGATCGATGTTTGTCGACCATCCATAACCCTTTCGCACCTGCTATTCTACCCTGGAAGGCGCTTGGGGTGTATCCCGTCAGTCCTAACGAATCACAAATCTGATTGGCCAAGCTTCTAGACATCAAAGCGCAACCATCGTTCATGACAGGTTTGAATACATCTGGTAATGGTAGAGTTTGCTGTGGTTGTAAGACCACTGTAGCGTAGGTTTTCGAGAGAGCCAATGAGAAGCGTTGAAACAATTTGCAGTTGGTTTGCGTGAGGTTTTCTTCTCGAGGCATGTGCCAATCAATCAGCGCATCTAGGCTCATTGGAGTGTGGTTGCTACTGTCTTGATGGGGAGGTGCAATAGGAGGGACAGGGGAACCATGGTCAAAATCAATCCCATCGATTGCAAAGAAATCGATTCGAAATTTGGGTTCGTCTGCTTTGCGCTTCGACTTGACCTCATCCACAAAAAAAGGCCTCCACGTCCTCCCTAAGCATTGATGAGCATTCTGCGTTAGCCATAAACCCAGGGTTTCTCGCAGAAGTGTAGGCTGTAAGGGGAACCGGAGATGCGATGGAGGTCGCGCCGGAGCTGGCACTGTCAGACTGAGAAACCTATCTGATCCAAATCGCCGATGAAAGCGACAGGTCCGTTCCGTCTTCAATGGATTCAATCTTAACTTCAAGACCCCTTTTTCGGACCACTCCAAATCCCCTGTTAGTACGACAACTTCCGAATGTTTGTTAGTCCTGAAGTTCCCAGTAGCTGCATCCCAAGCCTTGCGAGAGGACTTTTCGGGGAGCCGTTTTCCTTCCCGCTGACTATGCCCCTCTATCCAGCGCCAGAAATCATCAAGCGTCTTGAAAGAGATGTTGGGGCCAACCAACATGAGGTCCAAGGATACACCCCACTCTCTAGCCACTCTCTCGAGTTCATATCTATATCGAAGCGAGACGGAACTTGGGTATTGGTGATCGAGCGAGAATGGTCCGAATTGGAGAAGGTCTGTCATAATGCGCCCCTCAATTGAATCGCGAGGCTCCTGGCAGGCGAGTTGCTCTAGATTCTGTGTTTCAGCAAGGTTTGTTGCTGTTGTTTGCTCACTCAGATGATGCCCCACTACAGAGTCCTCGTACATGGGTTCAGTTTCCACCATTGACTCATCGACTTCAGTGGTGCTCGACGTGAACGAGGTCTCGTAGGGAGCAGTGGTCGAATAAAGAAAGCTGGAAGAAGTATTAGCTACAGTGCTGAAGCTAAAATTCACCCGATCGTTGGAGGTTGGTGTTGCATCATAACGCTGGTAACTGTCGGAACCCCTCAGGCGTTCCACGAATTTGGAGGGTTTATCGTTGTCGGTTTTCTTGGGGCTTTTGAATATATTGAATGGCACTGTGGCGTTTGATGGCTGCAAGACCGGAAATCCGTTCCTGCTGACGTTTCCAATGGAAAGATCACAGGAGTCTTCCTTGGTTATAGGCGATTGCGGCCTGTCTGGATCCTTGACCGGAGAGTTGGGAGCCGTGTGAAATTCCTCTTCCACGGAAAACCTTCTCTTGAGCGAGCTGCCTGATGGCGCAGGAGACTCTTCTACCAGTTCATCGACCTTCCTGGGAGCTGAAAAGGAGCCATTAAGCAGATAGAGTTCGTCATTGATCAATCTTTCGAGATATCGTTGGCGCTCCTCCTTTGCAATAGTACTGCTCCCGTTGCTGATCAAGATATCTCTCGAGGTGTTCGCGAATGAGCCAGGTATATGTCCCCAGCGACCATCCCCAGCAGGTAGCACCGTGGATTGGGAGACAATCCACTCCTCGAAGTCATTGAAGATTCGGTTCAAGTCCACCTTGCGGTTGAAGTATAGCACTCGGATCCGGCCATAGAGGCTCCAGCCGAGTGACTTTTCATTCTTGCCAATAGATGGAGAGAAATAGAGGGGATTTGGGATGTCCAAACCGAATTGCTCGTTTATCGAATCGATCAACTTGTTCAATTCCTGACCAGTTCTGACTGGGGTGCGAGGGAAAGTCATTTCGTGGTATAGATGGACAAGCGACGGGGATTCTTTGGTGCACTGGCAATTTATGAATTGTTACGTTGCAAAGAAGCGATGCGCACTTGTCCTACTCAAAAGCTCGGATTGAATCTCCCCTGTAGTACCCTGACAGAATGGGAACCATATAAACAGATGGTTGGCTCAATAAATTAAACGGAGTTTGATCTCGGCATCATGCACATGAAATGCATTGCCCTTCTGGTCAAAGCAGACAAACTAGACTGAAGCTGTTTAAAAATAGGAGTCGCAGAGGTTGAGACGAGGAACAGGGAGGGGCATGCACAACGGATGGAGATGCAGAAGAGAAAGAAAGAGGGAGAGGTGTTGAGCCCACACTAACTAACAACATCCATGACAGCTCCCCCCACCCCAGCAAATCATGGCTGAATGTTTGGCGCCGTTACCGCTCAGCCTTGTGTGCTACAGGCTTATTAGTACCTATTTATACATCTACAAGGCTGGAAGCCTGATTCTGCTGATCCAGTAAGAGTGCTTGACTGCAACCGTGATTGTTATGATGATTCGGGGATGTCTCAATTTGACCGCGCACATCTGACTCTATTCCAGGCCGTGATTGTATTTGTTGGTTGCCGTGTAAAAGGACCCAGTGACAGTCCCCACTCCTTGCCCGATCAGAATGACAAACAAATTGGA